GATCAGTATTTAATTGCAGCAGTGAGTTCAAGGTATGAGACACAGTGTTTGCATTAGAGAGATTTGTCACAAAACTTGGAGGGAAACAGCAGCACTCAGATGATCCATCACACACTCACCTCATTTAAATGCAATTCAATTTAGCCAGACCCTTTGGCACAAAAGTGGGAAAGATGACTTAACAAAAAGCACAGAAGAATACTTCTGACCCCAGGTGTCAGCTGGATTTGTGTGTGACATTCACAGAGGAGCTGTCCAAGAAAGCCTGCAGCCATTCATTGCTAGGCTGCAATTAAGGTGGCAGCCAATGTTTAAAACCTTCCTCATCCCATTCCCCCCTTTTCTGGCCACATTTTAAATACAACACAGAATGAAAAATAAAAATAGACTGCTGTGCCCTGCCCCACATGAGGCTGGGCCAGGATGAGTGGATTTCTATGCAAACAACACACAGAATGCCTTCCTTTAATCAGTTTGTTGCCTGACACAGATAGGAAAATTAAATGAAGTTAACTGTGCAGTTTTCAAGTCACCATTCAGCCTTTCAGTTGAGACAGATGACTTCTACTTACAGTGCTTCTTCCTCTGGCATTCAGTGGAAAATTTGGCAATCCTCTCTGGGTCTGGTTCTCAGCAATTCTCTGACATGGGGGCAGTTCGTGTCTCCATTGCACATAATAGATCTGTAGAAGCCAGGGAAAAAATGGCTCTTTTCTAGCCAGTTTCTCCCTTTCCCATCTGACAGAAGTGATTTTCTTCCCTGATCCAAAAGCCAACACACCCTGGTCTCCACCAGTGAGCATGGCAGGCACAGCACAGAAATGCTCAGAGTCCCCTAAAGTTTGCAAAAGGTATCAAATTCCCCCATTTCTGCCCTTCTCAGGGAGTAAGAGAGCCCCAGTGTGAGCAGGGCAAAGAGGCAGCCTTACCTTTGTGTGATTGGGGCTGCATCACTGATCCAGGGAGGGACACACAGAACTAGGGGCTAAATGGGAACTCACAGCCCTTCCCACCACCCAGAAAATCTGGATTGTGGCTCAACTCCCAGCCATTGTAACCTCAATTCTGCCACAGGGTTACTCCTGACTTACACAGGTAAAGTTAGACCCAGATATCAACTCTAATGGGCCTGATTCTGTTCGTGTTTACACCAGCACAATGTGATGACGATGATAAATAAGTCACAATTAAAAGCCAAATTACTCACTATTACTTGGTGAGTAGTCATGGCAACTTCTTTCCTTCCCCAGCAATAAATTCAGTATCTGCTGATACTGCCAGGCACTGATCAGGTCTGGAATGAGAATTATGGGACAGGGAAGTATGAGGGTGATGGTCACACTTGTCAGACCAAAGGCACTCCAGCATCTCTCTCTGATGGCTGCAGGCATTTCTCAAGAGCTTTTCCAGCTCCATGCAGATCCTTTGCTCCCACTGACTTGACTGCAGCTCACCTGCTTCCCTCCCTAACCCTCTCCAAGTTCCCCCTCAGCACCTCACTCTATTTACATCCCTGCCCTGATGGGAATCAAGGCACAGGGACCAAAACAAGGCTAAACCACACAGAAGGAACAACCTCCACAACAAGATTTGGATCCTGCTGTTGACAGAGGAGTGCTGGCTCCTGGACTAATTACAAAGTGCTGAATTTGGAGACACCTTGTGCATAATATATTGATTTTTTTTTTCCCTTGGAACATGGTCCAGCTCTCAGTTGCTCTTCTACGTGCTCCAAAGGCAGAGCTTTAATGCTGCAGGCAGAGAGGGCACCAGGAGATGGAAGCTACACCTGAGGCAAGCTCCACTCTTCTGAGACAATTACAGCCATAAAGGTTTAGCATAAAGCTCAGGAGAGCAGAAAGCACAACACTGTCAGTCACAAGCTTTTCATTCTGAAACTGGCTCCTAAAAAAGATAAGATAAAGCCAAACCAGATTAACCAACTTCAAAGCAAGCAGCAAGGCATTTAGGGCACGCTAGAATAGAATGCAGCTGTGCAGAGCGCTGATGAATTAAACAGGTAGAGAGGCTCCTTAATGACTTGCTCCTTGTCCCTTGCAGGTTTTTGGAAGTTTCCTGTGATTAGTCCCATCCCCTAACAAGATTCCAGCATCCAGGTGATGCAGCAGTGCCTGCCACAGAAACGTTGATGAGGTGAGCTAGCAGGAGCTCTGTGGAACAGCCTCCCCCAATCAGTTATCCAAGGAAAAGTGATATTGGATGACTCTTACAAGGGACACACAAAGCACTTACTGTTGAGCTCATCGTCAACTTTCTAAGTCAAATTAACCAATTTGCTAATTAAGGCTCATGGCAATTCCTCAGGACAGTAAGTCTGCAGTGCAGTGATTCATCAGGCGGTCACAGAACCGGGGAGGGGCTCCTCCTGCCCTGACTCAGGAGGGCTGCTGCTTCCCAAAGGAATTTAAAAGGTGGGGGGAAAGAAAATGGGAGGAAAATAAGAGAGGGAAAGTGGAAAAAAGGGGGTAAGTGGAACCCAAGGCAGTCTGAGAGAGAAATCATATTTTTTAAAATTGACATGGGAAAAATAGTCGCCTTTCTAACATCATTTGATTTGGATGATGTGAAGTTAAGCAGGTAAGTCTCATGAGTTCTAAGTGGTACATTTTGCATTAACATCTGTCCAGCCCATGGCAGGGGTCAGTCCGCTGCTGAAGAAGGAAGGAGCAGAGAGGGAATGATGCCTCTGCTGACCAGGAAGGAGAGACACAACAGTTGGGAGCAGCCCAGGGATTCAGCTCACTGGAATGTTGCTCTCTGGACCTCCCAGCACCTGAACCGTCACTCCCTGGGGCTCCCAGCACTGCACAACCCCTCATGGAGCCTCCCCCACTGCAGTTTTCCAGCTTGGAAGAGCAGGCTGCAAGCACAGAACCCTTTTCCCTACAGGAAAAGCAACCCTGAAAGCTTGAATTACACACACAGTGTGGCTCTTGGATCCTCAGAGGCTCTCTCAGCTTTCTAAACACCTTCCCTTCTTCAAATGGGTAAATAATCTTTCACCCATTTAACCTGAGACACCAAACTCCATGACTCACCCAAAATCTCAGCACTTCCTTGGGGCCCTGCCATTTGTCCTTATTCAAGGAAAGAAACAACACCAGTATCAAGAGATTTGTATTTTATGATCCTCTCTGATGTAGCCTCACTCACTTGAACACCATAATTTGACCTTCTGTATCTCGGGTTCACAAAATGCAGACAAATCAATTCCCAGGGGCTCCAGGATGAACACATCTCCTCTCCAGGGGGCTCTGCAATTAAGGATTAATTAGCTGAGGAAATTCACAGCACTGCAGCTGCAATGCTACAGGCAGGGCCACACCAGGGGAGCCCCAGGAGCACCTCCAGCTTCCCAACTGGACACAATAATAGTGTCCCACACTGGGGAAGCACCAACCTCCTGGTTCCCTGAGATGTCACTGCAAGGACTACACTCAGCACAATCCCTGTGCTCAGTTCAGTGATTTCTGAGGGCAGGGCAGGCCCACAGGGCTCTCAGGGAGCAGGGCTGGCACTGCAGAGCCCCCCAGCACTCAGTGCCCCATCCTGTGGTGCCCCCCAAAGGCTGCTGGGACCATGGAGCTCTCTGCGAGCACCCCAATCACCTGCCAGCCCTAAATGGGACATTTCAGATTTAACCATCCTGAGCTCACCCGAGCCAGCCTCCCAAATTCAAAGCACAACCTCTCTGAGTGCTCTCCTTGCTTGGCTGCCTGATTTGCCTCCAGGACAGGCTGTGTGATGTAAACCAACCTGCTTGAGGCTGGATTTTTCTGGAGCTGGGAGGATTTGGCACCTTTTATTACTCACTTGTAAAGTGACTCCCAGAAATACCACAAACAAGCCCAGCAGGCTGCCTGAGGAGGGAAGGATGCTCATGTATGCTCTGTTCCTTGGATAAAGGGCATTAATCTAAGCCTTGCACCTCTGGGGCAGTGAGAAGAGCCTGGCAGCACCTCCCAAGGACCTGCTGCATCTCTGAGCTTTGACATCTTCTTCCAAAGGGTTTCTTCAGCTCAGCTTGCTGTTTGTAAGCAAATCTCACAGCAAAATCCTGTCTGGCAGAGCAACAGTGCAGTGATCACGACATCCACCAGCTCTAGCAGGCACAGGAGCCTGTTCCCAGCTGTGCCTCCGCAGAAATCCATCCATCCATCCATCCATCCATCCATCCATCCATCCATCCATCCATCCATCCATCCATCCCTCCCTCCCCACACAGCAGCAGGACAGCAGAGAAGGAACAAGTCAGGCAGTAACTCCTGGCATTGACTCAAAGGGCACCCAAGCCAAACTGTGTCAGCAGTGTGAGCCTCCCACAGCATCCAGCAGCCATGAGCTCCTTCCTGGGAACGTGCTGCCTCACACCAGGACATAGGAAAAGGGAATGGCCCCAAATCATCACTCACAGAGGGCAGAGGTACACTCCAGAGAGGAAATGCCTGCATGGGGAGGGCAGTGAATTTAGAGAGTAAAGGCTTCTCCCTGTCCCCCCTAAGCAGTGTTAACCCAACTGAGAATAAACCATTTCATCACAATGCCTTCAGTTTGAAGGGGGGGGCTCCTCTCAAAGGACCAGATGTGCCTCATTGCACTTGATGGGACAGGTGGGAGAAATTAAGGGGCACGTGACACTTGCTAAAAAGCATCACCTGGGAAGGTCTAAACTACATTGACTACTACTAACTATAAGGTCCAACTCATTTCTCTTCAACCCTGCAGAGCAAAGCAGGCTCAGAGGCACAGGTTGTGTTTTTAGGCTCCTGTAAAGCACACGAGAAGAGCACCCTGATTTCTCTAATCCTGCAGGATAGGACAAACCCTCTCAGACAGCCGTGCAGGCAGAGCAGAGGCTCGAAGGCTGCCTGATGAGGGTAAAGCTCCCAGCTGTGATGGGCTCTGCTCCCTGACAAGCCGCAGGTGCTGTCCCTGGGCGTTAAAAGCAGGACAGGAGCAGCACTCAGGGCTTTGTGTCGGTGGCTGTGCCCATGGAGGGCGTATCGCCGCTGGAGCGCTACCTGGAGAGCTACAGCGGGCAGGTAAGGCAGGAAGGAAAATATTAACGGAGGAGGGGGGAAAAAATAAAATAAAGCTAAACAAAAAGGAACTGCGTTGGCCGGGAATCGAACCCGGGTCAACTGCTTGGAAGGCAGCTATGCTCACCACTATACCACCAACGCCGCGCTGGCAGTAGTCTCGCAGCCGCGCCTCAAGTGTGTCATTATCGTATTCCTGCTGGGTGACTCCCAAATTGCGCTGTACTGAGGGATTCCTCCTTGTCCCGGGGGGTTTCCTCCTTATCCCGGGGGATCCCTGCTGTCCCGGAGCTGCCGGGAGCATGGAGGAGCTCTCTGGAGCCGGAGGTCGCCTTCACTCCCTGCTAAGAGGGATGATGCTGCCTGTGAGGGTCAGCCCGGGTGCTGGCGTGGGTGGGCACTGAGAGGGCAGCAGGCTCGCATCTCCTCGCTCTGTTAGTAAATGTCTGCAAAAATTCATTACGTCGGGGTTTGGAATGGTTGTCCTCTACCTACTATAAACAATGTGTAAGTCTCATCTTTTCCTTTTCTGCTCCCCCAGTCAACCCAGTAAGATGTGCTCTTCAGAGGGCTGAGGAAGGACTCCAAAGAAACACTCTAATAAAAATGCTGTTTTGTTTAAAGAGCCTTGTGCAAATGCATAAATACTTAATTTTCAACAGGAAAAGCTGTTGTTAAGCAGTGTAATTCAAAGCACAAGCCAAATGTTTTGGTTTAGTTGGACTCATCCTGATCTCAGGTGGTTGTAGGAACAACTGAGAGAGGGCTGCACTCCACAGCTGAGCATCCTCCTTACTCAGGAAACAAAACTTCTTTGCATCCTGTTGTAAACTCATTTTCAGCTCAGAAAACAGACTTAGCACAAGCTGTTTAAATCCAGAGACGATCCTGTGGCAGTGGGTAAAGCCCTCTGAATGTGCCCTCACAAAGTATATAATGTGGTAATGTATAATACAGCCTTTACAAGTGCTAGTGAGCTTTTTATGTTTTACATTTGCTGGTACCCTTGATAATAGCAGATGTGTGATAGGAGGAAAAAAAATAATCCAAGTCTGTTGCTTAAGGCAGCTGGGTTGGATTTGTGTCTACCTGATTGGCAGGATTTCTGCAGCAGAAGTGAAAAAGGCTGTTTCCCCTTGAGCTGCCCCAAACTGAGGGATCTCAGAAGGATCTGTGAGTGAAATCTCCTCCCTGGAGCTGCTGGGAGATGGCCAAAGCTATGCAGTTGGTGGGGCCTTGGTGAAGTTAATTAACCCAGAGTCTATAGCAATAACCCTTGGCAGCCAGCCCAATGAAAACATGGTCTTGTGCCCCTTTTGCAGCCTCTGAGCATCTGTCTGACAAGAAGGAAATATTCCCCAGCACTTAACCCTGTCAGGGCTTTCCTCACACCTCTTAGGTGCAAGCCTGATCAGAAAGGAAAATTTGCTTTCTGTTTCTACTTGCTCTATGCAATTTACTCTTCTTTTTGAAAACTTCACAGCTGTGTGATACTTCCAGCCTCACGTACCACTCGTTTCTCCATCAGCTTCTCTAAGATATGTCACAAACTGGCTTTGGTTGGTTGTTTGTGGGTGGTTTTTCTACTGTTATGTTCAATCCTTGATGCCCATTAGTATGATGTGAGTAGTCTCACAGGGAGCTTTTTGTATCATTTTCTCTACATTGTAGTTCCTACAAAACCTTCCTAATGAGCTCCTGCACAGCTAATCCTTAATCCACTGGAATTCTTGCTGAGATTGTGACTTCCTTCCTTCGCTGCTGCCTTGAAAAAGATCTATTTAAAATAGACATAATATTTTATTTGTAACTATTAATTACATATTTTACCATTTTTTTCTAAAAGGTAAAGGAGTACATAGATTTATTTGAGAGCTTCCTGCCCAACAGATCTTCTGTGGGGGCTCTGCATTTAGAAGTCAGTTTTAGAAGCAGTTTTAATTGTGGGTACTTTTCTGATTGCATCTGTATTCAGGCTAGTGAGGGTTTTCTGGATGATTTGTCACTTTGTCAGAGTTCTCCAAGTGTCTGCAGGCAGATATACTGCAAAGTAGGAGCAGAGCTGTCCCCGTGTGCATGGCTGGGTTGCCAAGTGAGCTGCCTAGAAGAGAGCAGCACTAGCTCAGGGCTGGGAAGCACTGATCTGGAAATCCTGCTCCTGCTGGAGGTCAGGCACTTGCTGCCAACTCCAGGGCTCAGTCTCATGAACCACTCCCTGCTCTGATTTCTGCTTGGACTTTTCAAGTACTTCTGGCTCTTGAACCTAAAAATGCCTGATTAAACACAAAACCTCTTGTGTGGATTCTTTAGTCCAAGCTGTCACCTGCTGTGGATGTTGGCAGAAATCACCTTCAGAAAGAGGCTTATGCACCAATGGAGAGGGAATAAATCCTGTCCTGAAACTCTTGCCTCATTGACATGATGATGCTTTTAAACAGCTTTTAATAATAAATAGTTGATAAAGAAGGACATCAGCATGACAGAGCTTACTTGCAGGTGTGTTGTGTGCTTGCTTCTGCTGACTGTGGTGAGGCTGTTTTTAGTCCCATCTTCTCATCTCTAGCTTCACTCAGGCTGGTGGCCTCCAGGAGCTGAGGAATTAATTGCTGCTGGTTCTGTGAGCTGCTGCCCTCTGTTGCACAAAGCAAAGCTGACACTGTCCCCTGCTAGCAGGGAGAGGAAATGGAGCAATTTACAGAATGGGAGATCAAGACAGCCAGAAAATGTTGTCTGTCTTCCTTGGAAAAACTCAGGAGTGTGATCATGTGGTTGTGGTGTGACAGTGGCTGTGAAAGATGAAGTGCCAGTGTTGTACCTGCATTTTTCAATTTGTGCAGCCCCAGGAGCTCTCTAGAGAGCCCATGGATTGTGATGAAAATGCATTATACAAGGTACCTGGATTTTTATACACTCACAGACAAGCAAAGGACACACTTTCAACCTTAAAACTAGTCTTTGATAAAATACATATTGGGGGAAAATTATTGAAACTTCCTCATTGAAGATCAATCTTAACTTACTCTCCTTGTTTTAATACAAGACCCTTAATGGCACTTTTTCTCAATTCAAGGATGACTTCTCCACTAGTCCTCATCTGTTCACTCCTATGAGCCCTTATGATTTAGAACTTCCAATTCAAGCATCTTCCCAGTTAAGTGAGTCCAAGGAGCTCCACACAGACTTCTCCTCCGTGGACCTCAGCTTTCTCCCTGATGTCACCCAAGACAACAAAGAACAAAGCCTCTCTGAGGATGGTCAGGAAACCCAAAAAGAGCTTGATGGGTCACTCCCAAGTAAGGAGGACAGTGGTGTTTTCATGGATGAGAGCAGCTTGTCACATCCAGGTGCAGCTGAGCCATCTCCTGAAGCTCCTGACGTGTGTCCTCCCCTGACTCCGATGACTCCGATCACCCCGGCGACATCTGCCTCAGAAAGTTCTGGAATAGTCCCCCAGCTGCAGTAAGTTATGTGTTGTTTATGTAGCACACACACCATAGTCAGAGTTTAGCTTAAACTGCAAGGTGTTGCTCTGACTTTTCACTTGGAGAATGTAGCAAGCATGGCTTGGCCTTAAATAAGTCAAAAACTACAGAAGTAGTTTTTTAGGGTTTTTTTTTCTTCTTGATGGGGAGAGGTGGAGAAAATTAAATTACAATACTGGATAAAAATATGAAGATTCTTGAGAAGGAGGATTTCCTCCAGGAAGGAGAATGTGAAGGATGACAGCAGAGTCCAGGGATTTAAAAAGTCACTCTGCCTTTTCAAAAGGAGAAACAGAAACTCTGGCCTCACTAAAAGATGCTGTCCTGTCTAGGATAGAGCAACTCTGGAATAGTTTATACCTGTAGAAAATAACCCAGCCCTGCCTACCTTGGGTGCTGTAGTAACTCTAAATAGTCAGTACTGGTTCAATCCCAAGCTGTAAAAGGCTTCAGTGATGCAGTTTTTGGAAGACACACAAACTTATAATTCAGAGACTAATAACTTCACACTTTGTCCTATCTCAAAGTGCAGTTTTGGATTGAATTACTTAAGTTTTGCCAGAAGTAGCTTAATGCTTGAGTGGGGAAGAGACAGGCAGGAAATCAGATGATGGCAATTATTAATTGGAATGTGACTGTACTGCTGGGGGGTGGCTCTGCAGTGGCTGGATTTTGCAATGAGAAAATTCCTCCCTCATTCCTCAGGAATATTGTGTCAACTGTAAACTTGGCATGTAAACTGGATCTGAAGAACATAGCTCTGCATGCCAGAAATGCAGAGTATAACCCAAAGGTAAATCTTGAACTCAAAGCTTTACCCTCACTTCCCTTTCCCAGTGGTCCTGTGACTGTGCTCTTAACTCTCCTGCTCCTGGGTGGGTGGGAAATAACTTCAGGTGGGAAAGAAACACTTACAAAACAAATATGTGTTGTGATTAGCTTTGGAATTGTTAATTTTTGTAAGACTGAACAGAAATACAGCTTAATTCCTGACAGGTTTTCCTTTGAATTTGTAGAGGTTTGCTGCTGTCATCATGAGAATCAGGGAACCACGAACAACAGCCCTCATCTTCAGTTCAGGAAAAATGGTCTGCACGGGAGCAAAAAGGTATTTTTCTGCTTTTTCCCTTCCCTCTAAAGGTCTGGGTCTTGCAGCTATGCACATATTCTGATGGAGAATGTCTGAAAAGTCTTGCTTAAAACATCTAGCAAACGACTAATTGCAAGAAAAAGGGAAGCCCTGATATTGAAAATCTTCCTTTCTTCATGATGGCACCTTAGCAATTTCTGAACTCTGTACTTCTGTCCCTGAATTTAGAGTGAGCTGAGCAGACATCAGTAGAAAAGCTGCTGAAATTCCCAGAAATTGTTAAGGGATTATTTGCATTTCTCACTGATTTTTTAAAGTGTTTAGGACATAACTTGTGTCTGTCAAGTCTCTCTTCAGTGTCTGTGTTCACCAGTCAACACATCTGCCTCTAGAGGAAATGGGAATTGGGGAAAGCAAAAGTTTCTTTCTGTGCTCTGAAGCTTTCCCCCTGAAGTTCAGCAGTCTGCCTTGGTTTTTATATCCCAAAACAATCAATTAGAATTAATTAACTCATGCTTCGGAGACCTCTTCTCCAGCTCCCAGCACCACCCCAGGTGGGTGAATTGTACTGGTGCCTGCAGTGTAACCCCTGGATCAGCACTGAGCTGTTTTGAGGAACTGAGAAACCTCTCAAAAGGGGAACTGCTGAGTGATGAAACATCTCCAGTGGGTTCAACCAGACCACAGGAAGGTGAATGAACAAGTGCCTTACTCCTTTTAGCTCCCTACAGCAGTTCTGGGGATGGAGCCTTGCTATTTTGAGTGGCAGGATCTCTTTTTATGGAATGCAGATCAGCACAGTGGTGGCTATAAACCAATTTCCACCTCAAGAGCAGAGGAAAGCACAAATAAGTGTTATTTTAACAAATAAGTTAATAAGTTGTTTTTTCCCCTTTGCTCTTCCTTCAGTGAAAAGCCCATCCCTGGAAGTGTTGCAGGCCAGGCTGGATGAGGCTTGGAGCACTCTGGAAGGGGTCCCTGCTCATGGCAGGGGGTGGAACAAGATGGGCTTTAAGGTCTCTTCCAGCCCCAGCCACTGTGGGATTCTGTGATTGGAGGGCTGTTTGGAGATTACAATTAAAGGTTTCTCCCCTCAGTGAAGAGCAGTCGAGGCTGGCAGCCAGGAAATACGCACGGGTGGTGCAGAAGCTCGGCTTCCCTGCAAAATTCTTGGACTTCAAGATCCAGAATATGGTGGGGAGCTGTGATGTGAGGTTCCCCATCCGCCTGGAGAGCCTGGTTCTCACCCACCAGCAGTTCAGCAGGTAGGAGAAGATCAGGTACAGCCCTGTGCACCTGGCAGCAGGGCCTGAGGCCACTTCGGCCTGGTCTGTGCCTTTGCTCTGATGCCTTGGGAAGGCTGAGCTAGAACAGAGACTGGATGGAGTTAAAGAATAAAGGAGGGATTTATTAGGAGGCCTTCATGGATCCACCTTGGGCAGCACCAGAGCCCAGCCAGGGCTGCACCCAAGATCAACCAAAATGGCTCCAAAATGCACGGCCGGGCACGGGCTCTGTCCCTGGGATCAGTTCTGCTCCATTTGCACCTTGCAGTTCATTGTCCCATTCCAGCTTTAGCCCAGGCAGTCCCACCCTGCTTGTTTTTCTCTCTGTAGCCCACGGTGTTTGTGCTCTTGTGCTGAGATTTGGGTCATTTGTCCTTGGTGCCCAGCTGGCGCAGGAATTGTTTTGTCTCCCTGCTCTGTGCACAGAGCTCACCATCCCATTATATGGAGCCCAGACCCTCACACTAAAGCAGCACAGAATCTGAAAAATGGAAAAGCTAAACCTGAGGCATCAGCTCCTTTGTGGGTTTTAATACCAAGGTGGCCTCTTAACTCCCAGCAAAGCAAATTCCTGTCTGCAGGGATAAGGTTTCCAAACTTCAGGCATGAAGCCAAACTGCAGTTGCAAAATACAGAATTTCAGGTATACTGTGTTTTCTGGGATATTGTTTTGCTTCTGTTTGGATGTTCTTTAACCAAGAATTGAAAGAAAAGCTGTAGCTGAGTGAGGGCATGTTGTACCTGTGAGATCAGCTTGTTCAAAACTAGATATTGCCATCAGGAAAGGATGATTTCAGCACTGACAAAGCCAAAACTCAGTTGTCTTTTATTAGCAGTGCATCTAATAGCTTGCATTTCATTTAAGAACTAGATATATATTAAATATTTACATTGGCTGTTATCTTGTCTGAGTTGCACAGGATGGTTCCTGATAAGGGTTCTTGGCAGACTAGGAAGGATTTACTGTGAGGGTGCCCAGAGAAGCTGGGGCTGCCCCTGGAAGTGCCCAAGGCCAGGCTGGATGGGGCTTGGAGCACCCTGGGACAGTGGAAGGTGTCCTTGCCATGGCAGGGGGTGGAATGAGGTGATTTTTAAGCCAGGCCATTCCATGATTTGAGGACTGTATGAAGATTACAATAATGGTTCCAAGGTTGTGACAAATCAGAAGTGGCTCACAAGTCTTTGTCAGCATGAAGATCTCCCACCAGCTCCAGCTGGGTTTAACAAGTTTCTCTTCAAGATGTCCAAAACCTGACCTGACCTTTCTCAGGGCAGCTAGATAAAATCAGTGTGGTTAATTACCTTATTGCTACTATAATTAAGGAGCACTTTATTCATACACCACTGAAACAGCTTTTGCATTTTACTGATCTCCCCTGCTTGCTTTGAACAGCTATGAACCTGAACTGTTCCCTGGCCTGGTTTATAGGATGGTCAAACCAAGGATAGTGCTGCTGATCTTTGTCTCTGGGAAAGTTGTACTGACTGGTAAGTGCTGCCTCTCTGTGTCTCTACCCACTGCTTCACTTTGAGAGCATTTAAATTAAACATTAACTAAAAATCAGTATCTTGCCACAGTAAAGCCGCTCAGGGATCTTTTTAATGGCTGCTGCAGTTTTATCTGTGTTTTCTGCAGATAACATCAGTTTTGTTGCACTAGAATCTTGCATTATTTCACATACAAAGTCTCAGATTTCCATGTTAAGTATTTTTTTATTCAAAGCCTGATGCCACGTGCCAATGCAGAGGATGCCAACAGGATGCTGCCATGCCAGCAACTACTCAGGCACTTAAATAGGAACCTCACAATAAGCAATTTAAAATTGCTTGGACAGGAAACAAACTTCTTAAAACACTTCACTGACAACATTTAGTAGGGATTATCAGAGGAAAGGGTGGAGATCTTAGAGCTTGCTCCAGATTGTTTGGCAAAAAAATCGTGAGGCAAAAGCCTTGCTGAGTCAGTGTGCTCAGCAGATACCTGTATCTCAGATCCCAGGTGTGACTTGTTCAAAAAAGGTGAATTCCTGAGCTCCTTTTTGTGAAGCTCATGAAAAGGCTTTTATTCAGATATACTGAAAGGTGAATGGTGCTTGTTCCCAGAAGCTCTGAATGTGATATTCATGTTCACAACACAGCTTTGGGAGTAGGGAAGGCAAGAGAAGTGCCTGCCTTAGCCAGAGATTCTCACAACCATAAATCAGGAATGAGCTCAGCCAGCTGAAGGATGGGGCACTCAGGACAAAGCTCAAATGCTTCACCCTCCAATGTCCACAATTTTCTTAGGTCCAGTAAAATTATACTGGTCAGTAAAATCAAACTGGTCAGTTTCATTCCACTGATGCTTGCATTTTTGGGGTGCACTGACTGTAATGGCCTTGCTGCACACTCAGTCCTTTGCTGTGAGTCCTGGGCCAGCTGTAATGACAAAACTAAATTTGCTGAGATGTGAGGAGGGGTCTTCTCCCTAATCAAGAAAGTAACTTTACTTTTGAAAGTAAAAGCTGTGGTAAGGCAGATGAATTATTCATGTTCAAGTGAGGACATGAGTAAAGGTTTACACATCCAACCTAAGCAGGGCTTAATTCCACTTTTAGTTCATTTAAATGCAGTTTTCACCTGGCTGATGTTTGTTGGGCCAGCATGAGTAGTGTTGCTGGCAGGGAATATTCCTGCCTACTGCAATGCAGTTTGTGTGCAAAACTTGGTATTAAAGATTTGCTACCAGTACCACAGAAAAGGATTTGAAATCAAAGGGGTCCTAACACACAGTTTAAAATTAAAATTGCTTCTCAGAGCTGGAGAAGGAGAGTTCTCCAACTGTGGAACAACTCCCACTATGAAATAAAGGCCTTTCACCACTTGTTCCTACCTTTCCACTCACCTCATGAACAGGCAAAGCTGTTATTCTTAAGCAGATAACACCATGGTGGTGCTCAGTTGCTTTTATTCCCTTCTTCAAAGCCAATATTTTGCTCCTGTCAAGAGCAGAAAATTGCTGTTTTGATTCCACAGATTAAACAAAACTAGTCTTAAAGCTAAGCAAGCTGGAAAATGCTCTGTGAGGTGGCAGATAGAAATTCTGTCTTTAACAGTGAGGTGCTTTCAATCTCCTGGATTTCTTCATGGTTTGTACTCTTACTGGGTTTAAACTGCATTTAGTTTAAGTTCAGCACTCTTAATTCATGGTCTTTTTTATCTTAAATGCCCATTTAGGAGCAAAAGACCGTTCTGAAATCTATGAGGCATTTGAGAACATCTACCCCATTTTAAGAGGCTTCAAGAAACCATCATGACACGGCTCCCAGAGCAATCCAGAATAACCCCTGGGCTTGTGTTGCTGTGCTTGGAGCAGAACCAAGGGCATTCCTGGACACATCTGTGGATTATTAAGCAAATTATTCATTTCTGAATGCCACACATGCTGATGCCTTTCTATAGCTTGTGAAATGTTCTTTTCTTTCAGATTATCTGAGTTCTGACAATTTCTGTCAAGTTAAAGCACTTGATAAATGAATGCACTTTTAACAGAATGTATGTTAAGGTGGCACTTTAAAATATTTTGTAATAGAAGCCATGTATCTCTTTCCCTGTTGAACAGGTGAATCCACACTGCACTTCCAATTGGTTTAAGCAGAATCCTCAGCTCTAAATGTCTTGATTTGCCCCTGCAGTGTTGTAGTTTCATGTTTAAGCTCAACATATATAATTGTCTATAACGTGGCTTACAAAATCCTGTATGAGCTGATTTTGGTGTTTAGAACACAAGTGCTGAATCACTCTGCTCCCACTGGCTGGGTAAACTCTTGTGTGTGAGGGTAGAGGATTTTCTCTCACAGAGAAGACATTCCAGGTCCTGACTGTTGGGACACACATAGAAAATCTGTGGGTGGAGGGGTGTAACTATTAATATGTAATTAAATTCTCTTATTTGACATGGGGCAAGTTAGATTTTAACCAAATGGTCCCCACTTGATGGGAGATGATGGGATTTTGGTGCAGACAAAAACATGTTGGTTTAGAACTTTGTTAGAAATGGATTTAAGGAAAATGCAAAAAGTCTTGGATGCTCATGACAATTTTAATTATCTGTGTTATTTAACCAGAGTTCAGCTAATGGCAGTAATTTGGTAATTTTGAAGCAAAACCAACGAGGTTTCCTGTACTTGGTTTGAAGTCAAGCCTTTGTTTTCAGAAGGTGTCTTGCCCAGCAGGAACAGGGCAAAGCCTGTCCCATGGCTGCTCTGGAAAGCCCCTGGAAGCAATCCAGAGCAGTTCTGCTGTGCCCTTCCCTGCTGAAGGTGTTGGTACCTGTCTGCAAACACCACTAGAGGCTGCTCTTAGATGATTTAAGTGTAACCCAGCCCAAAATCCTCCTCGGTCCTTGCTGGAAATACTCAGCTCAACTCCCAACAGGGTCTTACTGGGCTGAGTTTTGCTGCCACAAAAGTTTATTTCTGATTCGGTGTGGGTGTGGCTTCATCTTCTGTATCTGTTATGTGTCTCTCACAAGTGGTTTTATATCTATCTCCCTGCAAACTTTGAAAAACTTTGTGCACTTCCTCATGATAAGCTGGTCTTAGCTGTTATCGGTGTCTCTGTCAAACTCTGGATTTCCACACTCAAATCTATTTTAAACACAGGCTTACTTTTCTGTTTGCTTTCTAACGTTGGAGACTTTCCACAGCCATGGGCTGGACTTTTATTTGCACTGTAGCTGTAGAAGCAGCTGATGAGCTTCAGTTAGAATAATGTTTTGTGAGTGAAAACACCCTGGTTTTATTGAGGTGTTGGGGGAAAAAAAGTTTATCTAAGATGAGCCCTCTTCAAGAAATCACGTTTTTCCTTAAGAGCTTGCCACATGATTTCAGTGGTAAAATTAGTGTTCTTTAGAAACACAGATAAGGCCTTAAAGATAAGAAATGGGCTCTGTGCCTTTTCACTGAGCTACTGATTAGGTTAATGTTTGCTATGGTAACTCTTGTCTTAAAAACAACAATCTTGGTATCTTGGTTCTACCTCCACAGTGCTGGTCCTGCTGAGTGTTTGATAACACTGGGAAGGGGGGAAATAGAGGCTGGGAATTGCTCTTAAAAGAAAAAAAAAAAGGTAATGTGTGGTAATGTGTTGTTGCAGTTGTGTTTCTTTTGGGAAGGGGCATATGGGGATATTGCTTAAGTTATTCTGTCTTCTGTGGCCTCCGTCTCCTCTAATTGCCTACAGACAGAAGAGGAAATGACTTCAAACTGAGAGTAGGTTCCTATTAGGAAATATTAGCTAGCAGGAAAAAATTATTTACTCAGAAAGGGGTGGTGAGGCCCTGGCACAGGGTGCCCAGAGGAGCTGTGGCTGCCCCTGGATCCCTGAAGTGCCCAAGGCCAGGCTGGACAGGGCTTGGACACCCTGGGATGGTGGAAGGGGCTCCTTTAGAGGGCAGGAGCTTGGAACTGGATGATTTTTAAGGTTCCTTCTCCTCAACCCTCCTTCATCCTCTGTCTTTAACTCCTCATCGTCACCCCACCATGGAGGCTGGGTTGTGGCAACCTCCCTCTGTCGGTTTTCAGGATGTGCCTCGGTATCTGCCGCTTGGACAAAGCGATTTGGATATTACTGTAAATACACGGCCGCGCTTTCGCTGGGAGCCGCAGTCCCCACAGCAGCGTTATGCTACGGCTACCCGCTGTGAAGCCCCGCGAACCGGAATACAACACCCCCACCGCTCTGTGCCGATCCCAGCGGTGTTCCCCTTCCTCCTGCAGAAGGCAAAGGGCGCAGTTTTTATTAAAAATTAAGATTTTTCCCGCGCCCTCCCCCGCTCCCTCCCGCCGCCTCA